ATTGTGGTTTCATCTGAGTCCTGGTGAGCCGGGCAGACAATGCAGCCATTGTTGTCGTTGTGGCTGCAGTCTGCTGGCTTGTGGGGCTGCCTGTCCTTTGTGCAAAGCCTCCTGGCCGCGATCTCACTTGTGATAGGACCAGTCTCCCTTCATTACCTGATTAAAAAGCCCTCACTGCATCATCAGACTGCTGGCTTCTGGTGAGGCAGCCACACAGGCAGTAGGCATGATCCAGAGCCTGTGGGGGCCAGCTGCTAGTCCCCAGCCAGTGGCCACTTCTGTGATGTCCACAAAGGCTGAGCACTTGAGGGCCCCTATAAAGCGAGGCCATGAGCAACATGGCTCGGAAAGCTAACCTTCCTCAGGAGCATTGAGTGCAGACTGTTTGACGTCAGGGTTGGGTGTTGGTTGTCTTTTTTTGAAAAGGCGCTAATTGTGATTCCTCACCCTGCTCTCTCCTCAGTGCTGGCTGCTGCTCCTGTCCACACAGCCGCCCCAGACTCTCCCATCGTGTTCAGGCAAATAGAAATCCCACCTTCCTGCCACATCCTTTCTCTTTCCTCCTGCTTCCTGACAGATTTCCTAGAAGAGTTCTCTTTGCTTTCTGGCATCCATAGGATAACATCTTGCTTCTATCATCGGCAGCCAAAAAGCAGACACAGGAAAACATCCACTCTTTATGTCTCTCATTGTTTTTATGTGGTAAAATAGCACCAGAATAATTATCTGTGAAGGAAGTTGAGGGGGAGGAAAAACTTTTCTCTACCCTCAAGGTTCTTCTGGCTGGTCTCATAATCAGACAGACACGAGGCAGATTAGCAGGAGAAAATAAGCAAATTTAATTACATGCATATGTATGGGAATGCTGCATACATGAGAGTCAGAGATAGAAAAGGAAGTTGAGGTCTCTATGACTTCCTGAGCTAAGGAATGAGGTAAGGTACCTTGGGGCTTCAGAAGGCAACTGCAGGGAAAGAGCATGTTCAGTAATAAATAGTTTGCCCTGCCATATAGGTGGGTAAAAAGTTATTTCTGGTGTTTACTCCCCAAATGGGTCAAACTCCTAATTTAATTTTTTCCAGGTAGTTAAGGGGAAGAGTGGTTGCTCTAGAGCCTGATCATCTTGGTCTCCTTTAACTCATAATAATCTGCATACCCCTGTGGCACATCTTGGGGGACTCTTTCTGCATCACTGCACAAAGTCCTAAGGCTGTGGTTGGCAAACTGTGGCTCGCAAGCCACATGCGGCTCTTTGGCCCCTTGAGTGTGGCTCTTCCACAAAATACCATGGCCTGGGAAAGTCTATTTTGAAGAAGTGGCATTAGAAGATGTTTAAGTTTAAAAAATTTGGCTCTCAAAAAAATTTTCAATTGTTGTACTGTTGATATTTGGCTCTGTTGACTAATGAGTTTGCCGACCCCTGTTAAGGGGTCACAGGGATGCCATGTCTGGAGCATTAGGAACTAAGCTTCCACACTGAATTGGAATTAAAATCCCTAGTGGGCAAACAGAGAACTGTAGTAGACATGCAGCAGTAACAAGTAGCAGTCATGAGGTGAGTGGGGAAGCGAGTTTGGGGTAGTGGCCCTTAAAGCGCACAACAGGGAAGGTATGCTCCTCAAATAAAATTTAGACAATGAAGACCTTAGCTTAATTCTGAAGCATGTAACTCCATGTTGGTATACATGCCCCCATGTGAGAATAGGATCATAGAATCCTATTACAACTTTTTAAGCTTTTGAAAGCACATTTCCTACCTAGATTAAAGGATATACAATTTTTTGATTTTGTAAAAGGCATTTAAGCAATTCTTATAGAAATAACATATTATATCTCCGAAGAATTATACTCAGTACTAGGTCTCAAGAGGGACATGGACAAATTGGGATGGTTTCCAGACCCTTTGCATACATCCCAGTTTGTCAGTGTCCTATGAGCCCTAAAAAAAATTAGGCATGTGGAGGTAAGTCCAGAAAGCAGAAGAAAAAGCCGGATCCCTTTCCTCTTGGAAGACATTTCCCCCAGACTACAAGAAGCTGGCTTGCCCACCTCTTATTCCCACTCCTCCTTCACTGGCCACCGCAGGCTCTTTCTAAAGTTGGTTCATAGAGCACCAAGGAAGGAGATGGTGTTTCCTGAATTCTTTCCTTCTGTAGGGAAGCAGTCATTCCCATCTAACAAAAGGGAAAAACTAAGAAGGCGGCATGCATGGTCAAGGTGCCAAGGACAATCTTCTACTCCTTGATCAGTTCTGCCATCTATTCCCCCGTGTCCTTGCCTTAATATCCCCATGCTGTCCTCTGTCACTCTAAATCCCCTTCTGGGGCGCCTCACTCAATCTGTCTCTCAAGTGTTTCATTCTCCAAATCACTATTTCTCCAATCTGAATATCAGAGACCAACACATCGAATATAAATAAAATGAAAAAATGACAAGCAGAGATGTGAAGCAATTGATATTTGGCTCTGATGACTAATGAGTTTGCCGACCACTGCCCTAAGTGATCTCATTCATTCCCATTGTTGTAAATACCAAATACATGCCCCTGAATTCCAGAGACATATCTCCATCTTTGACCTACCTTTTAAGCTGCAAAGCTCTATACTCATTCTCCTACTTGGGTAAAACAATCAAGACATTTTCATAAGTCTAAAATGGAACTTCTGATTTCCACTGCTCCTCCCCAATCTCTACTCAACCAACTACTCAAACCATTGAGCCATTGTGGGTTCTAATCCACTTTCTTACCTCCAATTCCAGTTCATGAGCATGTGTAGTCAAATTTTTTTACCTCTTGAATGTACTTGAATGTACTTGCCTTCAGTTCTACTCCTCACACCCTAGTCTAAGCTAGCATCATCTCTTGTCAGGACCAAGGCAAACATTGCTCCCTGCTACCCATCTTTGTCCTGGAATAACTCATCTGCACACAGCAGCAAGAAACTCAGTGACAGTGCCCTCTTAGCAGCCAGTAGGCATTGACCCCATATACTTGGGATACAATAAAAAGTAGTCACTGTGGCCTGCCAGGTCTTCATGAAGTGTCCCCTCTGTACTTACGCATGTCACGGATGCCCTCTCCACCGTACTCTTCAAACTTATGCTGTGCCCCACACATGATGTACTGGCTGTCTGATAAGTTTGAAACATGATTTCAGGCCTTGTAAACTGCTTTTTCCTGTGCCTGCAATGTTTTTTCCTCAATTACTTTTTGTTTCTGTTTTGACAAGTTACAGACATCTGTATACCTACGACCAAAATTAATAACTTAATATTTTGCCATTTTCCTCAGCTTTTTAAAAAAGATATATTTTTATTGAGTTAAGAGAGGAAGGAAGAGGGAGGAAGAGATAGAAACATCAATAATCAGAGAGAATCAATGATCAGCTGCCTCTTGCATGCCCCATTACTAGAGATCGAGTCTACAACCTGGGCATGTGCCCTGACCAGGAATTAAACTGTTCATGGGTCAACACTCAGCCACTGAGCCATGCTGGCCAGACTTCCTCAGATTTTAGCATTATAATAATAGAAAAATAGACGTGACGTTTGAGCTTTCTTCCTTTTGTTCCATCCTCTCCTCCTTACTCAGAACCAGTAATAGATATGGTTGATTTCCTGCCCTACATCCATTTCTCCCTCCCTTCTTTCTGACACACCCTTGACTTCTTTAAGGCACTCACACCTCCTCCAACCCCTCCCCACATCTTCATGTGCTTCAGCAAAAGCCAATGGTGACCCAACTGTGGCCAAGAACAGCAGAATGGTTTCCTGGGAGCTGTGCTCATTCTCCCCAGGGTACACAGTGGGAAGCTGGTAGCACTTCTTGAAGCTCCTACTCTCTTTATCCTGCCCTCAAGCATTTATTTGCCTTTAGAGAACCAGGGTGGAACCGGAGGAGCCAGGCTATCTAAATGTCTGATCCAATACCAAGGCAGGAGCTAAAGGTACTGAACTGTTTGTTCAGTCTTTATTATGTCATCTGCTTGTCTTGCATAACTATTGGCTCAAAACTTAGAGTAACATAAACATCACAAATAGAAGGAACTGTTGACCTAACCAATTTGGCTCAGTGAATAGAGCATCGGCCTGGAGACTCAATGGTCCCAGGTTCAATTCAGGTCAAGGGCATTTACATTGATTACTGGCACATCCCCAGTAAGGGGTGTTCAGGAAGCAGCTGATTGATGTTTCTCTCTCATCCATGTTTTTAACTCTCTATTCCTCTTCCTTCCTCTCTGTAAAAAATCAATAAAATATATTTTTTTTTTAAAAAGGAACTGTCTTCCTAAATGTCTCTACCCTTCTCTTAAAAAAGAAGATTCTTTCTCTTATAGCTAACCATTTTTTTTTTTTTTTGGTTAGCATGTTATCTTACTACTAGAGGCCCAGCACATGAAAATTTGTGCACTTGAGGGGGTCCCTCAGCCTGCCCTGTGCCTTCTCACAATCTGGGACTCCTTGGGTAGGGTCCCTAGGCCTGGCCTGAGATTGGCGCCTATCGGGGCTTTCTTTAACCTGGCTGCAGGCAGCTGGCCCCTCACCCCTGCCACTGCTTGCCATCTGTGCAGTCTGCCTCCCCCTTCCCCTGCCACTGGTGGCCTCTCTACAGGCAACAGGTTGGGGTACAATGACTTGGCTGGCTTGGGCCTCCCTCTTTGCTGGGGGGCAGAGCCAGCCCTGTGAGGGGCCATCTGCCTACCTGATTGCCGCTAACTGCTCTCCTGCCTGCCTGATTGCCCCTAACCACTTGCCTGCCTGCCTAATCACCCCTAACCACCCTGGCTGCCTGCCTGATTGCCCCTAACTGCTTGCTTGGACCAAGGGGCAGAGCCAGCCCAGCGAGGAGCTGTGGTGGTATGGTCTCTGGTCATCTCCGTTATGATGCCTCTTGCTTTTTATTATTTATATTTAATAATATTTATTATTATAGGATATTCTACTTATGTGTGTGTTTAAAATAACAATCAGAACTGACCTCTGTTTCTCTCTGCTCGCAGGGTGCGGCATGTTTACTCTCCTGTCATCAGTCACAGCAGCTGTCAGTGGCCTCCTGGTGGGCTATGAACTTGGGATCATCTCCGGGGCTCTTCTTCAGCTAAGAACCTTATTAGCCCTCACGTGCCAGGAGCAGGAAATGGTCGTGAGCTCCCTCCTCATCGGGGCCTTAATCACCTCTCTCACGGGAGGGGTCCTCATTGACACGTATGGAAGAAGGGCTGCTATCATCTTGTCGTCCTGCCTACTTGGACTTGGAAGCCTAGTCTTGATACTCAGTTTATCATACACGGTCCTTATAGTGGGACGCATTGCTATAGGGGTTTCCATTGCACTCTCTTCAATTGCCACTTGTGTTTACATCGCCGAGATTGCCCCACAGCACAGACGGGGTCTTCTGGTGTCACTAAATGAGTTGATGATTGTCATTGGCATTCTTCTGGCCTACATTTCAAATTATGCATTTGCCAATGTTTCCCATGGATGGAAATACATGTTCGGCCTTGTTATTCCCTTGGGAGTTTTGCAAGCGATTGGAATGTATTTTCTTCCTCCAAGTCCTCGGTTCCTGGTGATGAAAGGACAGGAGGAAGCTGCCGGCAAGGTTCTTCAAAGGTTGAGATCCCTCTCAGACACAATGGAGGAACTCACTCTGATAAAATCTTCCCTGAAAGATGAATATCAGTATAGCTTTTGGGATCTGTTTCGTTCAAAGGACAACATGAGGACCAGAATAATGATAGGGCTAACACTGGTGTTTTTTGTACAAATCACTGGCCAACCAAACATATTATTCTATGCATCGACTGTTTTGAAATCTGTTGGCTTCCAAAGCAATGAGGCAGCTAGCCTAGCCTCCACAGGCGTTGGGGTTGTCAAGGTCATCAGCACCATCCCAGCCACGCTTCTTGTAGACCACGTTGGGGCCAAAACTTTCCTCTGTGTTGGCTCTTCCGTGATGGCAGCCTCCTTGGTGACCATGGGCATTGTGAATCTCAACATCCATATGAACTTCACCATTATCTGCAGAAGCCAGAATCTTATCAACCAGTCTTTGGATGAGTCAGTGTTCTATGGATCAAGAAATTTGTCAGCCAGCAATGAAACTCTTACAGAGCCCTTCAAGGGGATCACATCCCACAGCAGAAGCTCATTAATGCCCAGGAGAAATGATGTGGATAAGGGAGGGGAGATGACCTCAGCATCCTTACTGAATGCTGGAAGGAGCCAAACGGAATACCAGATAGTCACAGACCCTGTGCAAGTCCCACCTTTTTTGAAATGGCTATCCTTGGCCAGCTTACTTGTTTATGTTGCTGCTTTCTCAATCGGTCTAGGACCGAGTAAGTATTTTATTTTTTTATTCCTCCTCCTTACCCCTTTTAAATGCTAATGAATTGCTTTTGACCAATGAGAGCATCATGCTGCTATAGTATCTCACACACAGACCTACTAGAAGCAGGACTTGGATAATATCGGAAGAAAGTATGCCTGGCTTATACCTGCTTAGTGAAATGTGCAAGGCCAGTATTCCACCCAAAGGGAAGTTTTGCAATTATATATCCCACGAGGATACTTTAACACCAATTGATTGGAGGTGAACCAGACTTTGGAAGATATTTATTTCCCCAGAGAATATATTGCTTTATGAAAGCAAAGTTTACTGAGATAACATTTTTTTTAAACATATCATTCCTGAGTTTTTTCATAGGTGAAAAGGGAAAGTACCAAGATTTTCTTAAAGTTACTGTAGTGGGTGCATTCTAGTAATTGTGAAAAAGAAGGGAATTCTGAGATGGAAGGAGAATGAATTATTCTTTAAACTATTTTATCACTAAAATAGCCTCCCAGGGTACTTTACTCTCCCTTATGAAACAGAGAATGGGAGTCAAGTTACTCCTATTAAACAGAATACAAACAATTTACAGGGAGATAGCTACAGCATGTTTTATTTTATGTAGCCAGTCTACTCCAGTGACAAAGTTTAAACCCTTCTCTGAAGCAAAGTCTCTAGGGTTTGCTAGAATAGGTTGTTTGTTGAAGTTCCCTAGTCTTTTAGTGTCGGCCTGAAAGTCTAAACCTCTCTGTAGAGAAGTTGTAAAAGGTCTTTTGTACATCACCCTAGAAAATAAAGTGCTTACTCTATCATCCTCATTTCTCTCTCTCCCTCTCTCTCTCTCCCTCTCTCTCTCTCTCTCTCTCTCTCTCTCTCTCTCTCTCTCTCTCTCTCTCTCTCTCTCTCTCCTCGCTCTCTCACATACACAGTTGGTATTAAAACCTTTGTTAATAAGGATCAAGGTCCAAACAAACTTGCTCAGCTAAACAGAAGAGAATACAGTGCCCAATCTAGTCAATGACCAAATGCTCTTGGATTTTGCTCATAGATGGCTCTAGTGTTTATTTTTTTTCTTCCCATTTCTGCTTCCATATGGCTCTTAGGTTGCTAGGAGACTGTAATTCTCTCCTATTCCAGGCCTTTCTCATGCCCATTCTTCTTCTATAGCAGTATTCCTGAAATACCATTTTCCTCATGTCCCTAATGTTCACACACTCTCCATGGTGTCCTACTTTCTGCCATATCAGATAAATCAAATGCTTTACAAGATAAAAAGATTAGAAATGATCTATTCCAAGATTTTCCTTCTACTGAAAAAGAAACAAGATACACAGGAGATTGAGATTACACAGATTTGGAAATAAAACCCCAGGCTTTGGAAGCCTAATTCCATGCTTTGCATACACTGTATCACCATTCTTTGAAGGAAGTATTGCAAAACTTTCAAGACCCTCCACCATCCACCCAACCATATCAGGCTGTTTACACAACTCCAGGGGGCACCATTTACACTGTGATTTATGGAATTATGCTCAAGGGCCACCATTCATATAGGAGTACCTATAGACTCCACATGGACAGCACAGTGAACAATGTCTCTGGCATTGTGCAATGAGGCAATACCTTATCACTCTGAGCTTCTTTATTTCCCACTGCTTTACACTTTCTCTACCCTACCCAAAGCTCAGTGAGATTCTTACTACCTTTAAAGCTCAATGAAATTCTTCTCTTTTCTAGGAATTCACTTCTTTCGTAGAGGTGTTTATTTGTATGAACTACTAGTCATTTCTAGTGTAGCATATGTCAGTTCTGGACTATAAGTAGCTTGAATTTAAGTCAGAAAACGTAGTTTTAATCCCAGGTCTTCAACCTACTGGCTGTGTGATCTTTAAATCAACTATGTTCATGAAGTTGTTTGTAATCTATGAATTGGGTATAATAATATCTGTTTTATGTCACAGAGTCAGCATCAGGTGAGCAAATGTATGAGTGGTTTGGATGCTACAGGATATGATATAAATGGAAGTGTACACACATAGTGTAATGCACACTGTAATATAACTTAGTCCTTACTGGTACAGTTATTGCTACTATATGTTTTGGTTTATTAGCAAGAATATGGTTACTGGATTATAAGCTCTTTGAGGAAAGAAACGGCATTTTATATTTTTTCTTCTCTCTCTTTAAGTGAGCGTGGCATAAATCTGTTTGAAAGCCATGCAGAAACACATTTGTGTTTCTAAAGGGGTGGGGAAGATTTTAAAAATAAGATGCATATATCAGAAAAATATCAAAGTATGCTTCTTTACATGTATTAAGCAATCTATGGGCAAACTAAGTAGCACATAAGAAACTCCTGTTTCTGCCAAACATCATCACGACTTCTTTTGCAGAATAATTTGTCACATGGACATGTGAGGAAAATCTCTTCTGTGTTTGCTCATAAGAGAAGATGCAGGGGGGTTAGTCATGCTTGGAAACAAGTAGTGGGAGGCATTTAGGGCTTTTCTTTGTTAAGTCACAATTATTGGGATTTTCAGGCACAGAGGACCTAAAATTAGTCCCAGTACTGTCTGTCTGTCTGTTTGTTTGTTTGTTTGTTTGTTTTGACACCTCTGCTTTTTGCTGCAACCTGGAGAAGTGAGTCCCTTTGAGAATTTCTTAGACTCCCAAGCAATACTAGTGAGGTAGCGAATCTCAGAGTTGAATGGGGGTTTTTGGCATAGGAAAGGGAAATGGTTTGGTTTCTCCAACTTATAATTGTAATTTCGAGGACTGAGCTAGGTATTCACAGCTGAGTTTGGTAAGCATGTAGCCTGAGACAGAATTCCCCATCTATGGTTTGGGGCTATTGATTCTCCTTGAGCTCTTAGAAGGAATCTGAGTAATTTTCCTTTTTTTTTTTTTCCCCTTGCTAAGAGTCATTTTTGTCCATATTCATGTTATAGTTTATTTTTCTTTTCTAAAGAAAGCATACTACAGGAATTCCAATTCAATCATCAAAACTGTATTCTAGAGCATTGGTGTAAGCTGCAAAAACCAGTGGGAGTTTTAAGAAGATTTTTATTAGGAGCAAGATTTTCATACTAGATCTTGAATGCTTTCTAAAACTTATTAACCTAATATGATTATTCTCAGATATCTCATTTAGAGAGTTGATTGCTTGTAGTGAAGCAAATCCTTTCTGTAAGTAGAGGTATAAAAGAAAATGCACATGTTGTTCTAAAGTAAAATCAAAAGCAAGATTATACCATCTTCATTAAACTTCTTAAATATGGGTTGGCATAGAACAGCATTCCTTAATTGAATTAAATCATGCCATAATTTCTTCTGCCAAAGGAGTGTTTCTATTTTTTTTTTTTTTGATTGAGTGTATGCTCTTTATCATTTCACTCTCTGGTCCTCTGTTTCCCTAACTGTAAAATAATAGGTTGCCCTAGAATCTGGAATTCAGGAGGGGAAATGAATGTGATACCAAGCAATCTTATGTATTATATTTTAATGCATTTAAAATATTATTCTAAAAAGGAATCCATGACCCAAAGAATTTAAGAACCTTGGCCCTGCATTTTTTTACAACTAATACTAAAATTCTCTCATCAAGTAAAATCAGAATATATACTCTATTGCTTTTATTGAGGACTATTAAACATTTTTTTCTCCTTAACTGATCTTTTAGTTCAAAATATGTTCAAAATCTTACCCTTACTCTCCACAGTGTTTCTGGAGTGGCCCTGATCATTGTTTTAATTTCTTTTAATAACGGTATTTTTCTGTCATGGTTCAGCTTTTGGAAGAGTTCTGACATTGTGAGGACTTAGAGCCACATGCTTTAAAAAAAGCATGAGTTGGACCCGAACAGAAAGCATAAAGTTATTATTTCATGAGTTCATTTGAGATGATACTTGTGTAGAAACCCAGCGATTTTAAAATAGCAAGTGTAACTCAGAAAAATGTGTGGCTGCTCTGTTCACAGTAATTACCAGGGCTTTTCTAAATCCACAGATTCCTGCGTCTGTAAAATTAATTCACCTCCTCTTCCATCTCATGATTATATATTTTTTTCATTATGATCAAATGAAAGAAATTTATCCAAGATCACAGATTAAGTTTGGTTATGAGACTGTGGCTGCCATACTCTAACACCTTTGTATTCATACTGAATACTGACTGACAGGTGGTCCCCAATCATCTGCCTCAATCTCTTCTGTCAAATAAGCAGGAGCTCCTGCAGCAAGAAAGCAACTTGGACCGAAACCGATTTGGCTCAATGGATAGAGCGTCGGTTTGGAGACTGAAAGGTCTCGGGTTCGATTCCGGTCAAGGGCATGTACCTTGGTTGCGGGCACATCCCCAGTAGGGGGTGTGCAAGAGGCAGCTGATCGATGACTCTCTCTCATCGATGTTTCTAACTCTCTATCTCTCTCCCTTCCTCTCTGTACAAAATCAATAAAAATATATATACAAAACGTAAAGATTATTGAGGGAAAAAATAAAGAATTATTATTAAAAAAAGAAAAAAGAAAAAAAGAAAGCAACTTGGAGTGACCAACCAAGGGAGAGAGAGGGAAAGCCTGGGGTTCACTGATTCACTTACCCATCCAGCACGTGTGTATTCATCCAGATTCAAGGATGGCTGAGCAAGAGCCACACCCTGCCCTCATGGAACCAATGTGGGGATAGGCAATGGGCAAGAAAATGAAGACAGATGTTATCCCAGTTCAGGAAAAGAGAGGTGTTGACACTCAGGTGGAGGACGAGTGATAAAAAAAACAAAGAAGGGTAAATGAAAAAGCATTTTGGAGGAGCGTTATTTCAGATAGAATGGCCATAAAAAGCCTTTCTGTGATGGTGACATTTGGGCTACGGCTCCTATGAAGAAAGAAGTGTGAAACTTTGGGAGAAGGGAGTTTTAAGAAGGGAGAATGGCAGGTAAAATGGTCTTGGGAGGGACATGAGCAGAAGGTTTAGAACAGCAAGAAAGCCTCTCGAGGCTGTATAACATGG